CCAGGAGGCAAGGGCTCCCTGGGGCGTCCGCGACGCAGGTCAAGAAGACGACGCCAGGTGCGCCAACGCCAACTGCTACCACATCATCTCCAGCGGCCACAAAGGGTTCAACTACGGCTGCGAGCTCCATGTCCTACTCAGCAAACCCTACGGCAAGAACGGCAAAAAGGAGCTCTTCTTCAAACCTGACCAGTTCACAGTCATTGTCAAGGACCCCAGGCTCCTCATCGTGCGCGTCACCGCCCCAGGCTTCAACCACGTGCTTGCCGTCGCTCACGCCCCACGCCCGAAGGCCCTCGCGCCCGAGAAAAATCCGCCGACCCCAGAGGCGTGTGCGATATCCTTCTGGGCTGGATAATACACCCGACCATTTCTCGCCCGAAACTGCCACCTGGCTCCGACACCACGATTCTTCTCCCAAAACCGCCAACATTCCCCTCCCCGCCCCCCACCTGGCCCCGACATCCCCACCCCAGATTGCCTCTGTTCTTGGGACTCCCCACCCGACGATTCCTCTTTCAAAAACGTCCAACGCCCTTCTCCCCGCCCCCCACCTGGCCCCGACATCCCCACCCCAGATTGCTCTGGTTCTTGGGACCCCCCACTCCACGATTCCTCTCCCAAAAACGTCTAAGGCTCCTCTCCCCGCCCCCCACCTGGCCTCGACGTCCCCAACCCAGATTGCCTCCTTTCAAAAACGTCCAACGCCCTTCTCCCCGCCTTCCACCTGGCCCCGACATCCCCACCCCAGATTGCCTCTGGTTCTTGAGACCCCCCACCCCACGATTCCTCTCCCAAAAACGTCCAACGCCCTCCTCCCCGCCCCCCACCTGGCCCCGACATCCCCACCCCAGATTGCATCCGTTCTTGGGACCCCCCATCCCACGATTCCTCGCCCAAAAACGTCCAACGCCCCCCTCCCCGCCCCCCACCTGGCCCCGCCCAGATTGCCTCTGTTCTTGCGACCCCCCACCCCACGATTCCTCTCCCAAAAACGTCCAACGCCCCCCTCCCCGCCCCCCCCCCCCCCCCCCCCCCCCCCACCTGGCCCCGACATCCCCACCCAGATTGCCTGGCCCCGACATCCCCACCCCAGATTGCCTCTTTTCTTGCGATTCCCCACCCCACGATTCCTCTCCCAAAAACGTCCAACGCCCCCCTCCCCGCCCCCCCACCTGGCCCCGACATCCCCGCCCCAGATTGTCTCTGTTCTTGGGACCCCCCACCCCGCGATTCCTCTCCCAAACACATCCAACGCCCCCCTCCCCGCTCTCCACCTGGCCCCGACATCCCCACCCCAGATTGCCTCTGTTCTTGGGACCCCCCACCCCACGCTTCCTCTCCCAAAAACGTCCAACGCTCTCCTCCCCGCCCCCCACCTGGCCCCGACATCCGCACCCCAGATTGCCTCTGTTCTCGGGCCCCCCACCCCACGATTCCTCACCCAAAAACGTCCAACGCCTCCCTCCCCGCCCCCCCACCTGGCCCCGACATCCCCACCCCAGATTGCCTCTGTTCTTGGGACACCCCCCACCCCACGATTCCTCTCCCAAAAACGTCCAACGCCCCCCTACCAGCCCCCCACCTGGCCCCGACATCCCCACCCCAGATTGCCTCTGTTCTTGGGACCCCCCACCCCACGATTCCTCTCCCCAAAAAGTCCAACGTCCCCCTCCCCGCCCCCCACCTGGCCCCGACATCCCCACCCCAGATTGCCTCTGTTCTTGGGACCTCCCACCCCACGATTCCTATCCTAAAAACGTCCAACGCTCCCGTCCCCGCCCCCCCACCTGGGCCCGACATCCCCACCCCAGATTGCCTCTGTTCTTGGGACGCCCCACCCCACGA